CGCGTTTCAAATTTCAGATTAAACCAAACTTGGTGGCTCTAAAAAGCTAAGACTCAGGACTTTCCAATGATACCCTAGAACGTCTTCTGAGTCCTTACAGAATGACGGAAAAATAGCCCGCAAGTTTGTTGTTCGGAACTGGAAACAGGAAATTCCAGTCTCAGAAAACATGAACAACACGTTGACATCTAAAGAACACAGAGAACGGAGATTACATCAAAAACAGGATCGGAATCCTGTTCTAAAAATTAGACAGAGAGAGCTTTCCATAGATAGGCAGATCGTCTCCTAACTCCTTCTGGTTCAACAGGAATCCTCCCTCGAAATGGACTGATCGCAGATCCAAAACTGCAGAAACATCTCTTAGTAAAACGACGATAACTCTCGGAATACTAATCCAGATAACAAACCGATTTCGCCGAAAGCTAGATACGACAGTTGAGAACTTACCCTAGAAGTTTCGCTCCAATACGATCCGATCTTCCTAGCCGTTCGTCTCTCCTTCTAAAATTAAATAGAACTGTTTTCTCTCACGAAAGTCACTTCTCTCACAATTTTCTCTAACTCTTCTGATTTTCGGCCAAAAGAGCCACAAAATGCGATCTCCATGATTATATAATGGAATTCTAGGGTTCCTAAACAGATCGCCAAACCGAGCAATCAAAAACCGAACCAGGCGGTTCAATTTCAATTTGCGTCAATCGACGCACAACACTTGTGTCGATCGACGCAACACCCAGAACCCAACTCTTCGCGAGTCCAAACACACATACTGTGTCGATCGAAGTACCACCAAAAATACACATTTTGGTTCACGGGCGTTACATTTTTAGACTGAATTTGGTGACGACAAAACAGTTTTGCCGTCCAAAAGAATCCGGAAGGCTCCAAGGAGATTCATTGACTCATCTTCAAAGAAACATGGAAAAATTGTATCTACTGTTGACGTTATTGAAGAGCCCATTATGAAAATATTTTTGGCTAAGCTGAAATCCTATAAGGATAAGTAAGCACACAATTCCCAACCTATGTCCATTAAGTATGTTACTTATATCTTGTCCATCATTGGGATCGATTTACAATTTTGTCCACCAGGCAATATGTCATCAATGGTCACGTCGTTAACATGTATTTTTTCAACAAGCTTATCTCTCCACTGAAATTTCTCGACAATACGATAAATATA